ATTTAAAAATATTTAAATAACAAATAAAATTTTAATATGTGATATCTTTTTTATTTAAAAATATTTAAATAACAAATAAAATTTTAATATGTGATGATATCGTATGTTAAAAAATAAATAATTTATTTTAGTTAATAAGTTAAAGTGATAATTTATCTTTATTTTTTTTTAATGAGTGAATATACTTTTATTTTTTTTATTTAAAATGTGGATTTAAGAGTTTTATTCTATAATTTAAAATGTGGTTTAATAAGTAAATGTATAAAATATTATATAAAATTTATTAATTTTGAATATAAATAGTTCACCATAACACATTAATTTTGAATATAAATAGTTCACCATAACACGCTTACTAATCTATTAATATTCTATTTTATCATGCTCTTTTTGTATTGTATTCGTTAAATTGAGAGTAATTATTTAATTGATCTTCTTAGTGGTGAGCAATTTTTTTGCTTAATTGGTATATATTTTGAAATTAATTTTTTTAATTTATTAATTCAAAATTAGGTTATTTACACTAAAATTAAAAAATTTATATCCTCTTTAATTCAAACCTTGGAGGAATTATTTAACTGATATGGTTTACTCTTAAATCCTAATATCAACAATTGATTATTGGAGAATATCATAATAAGGAAATTCTTCATTATTATAATCAATAAAATCGAAAACTCAAGTCTGTAAATCGATTCATGATATTATTTAATTACTATAATAAATTATGTTAAATGAATTTTAATCTGGGTGAGTAGAAACAAGCATACAAGGAGGAAGTGGCTAAAATATTGAGCTGTAAAGGATCATCATTAACCTTCTCTTGGTATTACCTAACACCATATAAAGGAGTGCTAACATCATCATCGTCAAAATCACAATGATAATAGTAATTAACTATAAAACGAAGAAAAGGATTAACATCATTGTAATGAATGGTACATCGCATTTCCTTTTAGTGGATCGATGAAGAATTTGCTATTACAACAAATTCGGTCTTCTAATATATATGCTCTTGTTTTTGTTTTGTGTTTTTTTCTTTTTCTTTTTCTTTTTTATAGTTTAGGCCAATTAATTGAAATCTTATAGGAAGAGTATGAAAAGAGAGTTGGAGAGAGAAATGATAGTTCAAACTCTAACTATATGAACGAAGAAGTATTTTCTTCATTAATAAGTTTATCAGTTATTCAACAAGCCTTTTATTTTTTTTTTTAAGAATTATTTTTTCAGTTTCTAAAGAAATATAAATTAAACCGCTATTTAAAACTTGTAACTTTTGCTATTGTCATTTTACTGTTAAACTTTTAAATTTGATAATATATTTATTTAACAATTTTTTAAAGAAAATTATGTTATATTAATTCATAATTTAATACCTTCATAAAATCTTTACTTAAAAGTGTATTTTCATAAAAATTACAATTGAAAGATGAAATTGTGTATTTAATTTATATTAAGTTCAAGTTTTAAAATTAACATTTAAAAAAATTAAATTCTTTAAATATATTAAATTGATACTTAAATATATTAAATTGATATGAATATACACACTTAAAATTATACGATTAGTCTTAAAATTTATGAAAATTTACTTAAAAATGCTTTGATCATAAATAAAATAAAATTACGATTAAGCCAAAAATGTTTACGGGATGGTTCAAACTAGTGAGTTGGCATTAGCACGAAAGAAAAAAAAAAACAAGTAAATGGCGAGCTCCAAGGTAAAGGTACGATTCCTTAAAAAGGGTCTTGTCAAAAGTGCAATAACCATATACTAAAACCAAAAGAAACTAGAATGTCATTGTTCACAAATAGAACAAATGTTGCCGTAGTCAAATCAGAGGAACAATACAAGACTATTAATTAGCCAAATTCTAAATTCAGACAATGGTAAGAAGCCTAAAATGGATATTGTAAGTGCCCATCTTATGTAGTTAGAGCTTTTAATATAAATTTTATTAGAAAAAAAACTATAGTAAAAGTGTTATTTTTATAAATAAAAATAATAAAAATAAAATAAAAATAATGCATTAATTTTATTAAAATTCAAATAAAAAATTATTGCAAAAGTATTAATTCAGTGTTTCTGAGATTTGCAATAAAATGGATACAATACTAACTTATGAGAAATTGTAGTATTTTTAAGAAATTGTTGTGTTTGGTGCAGCTGGAGTTTTTTGAGTTCAAAAAGACCTTTTACTAACTATATTAAATATAACCTAAATTGTCTTATTTTCTAAAAAGAAATTTTCAACTTCATTTAACTAACTAAATTTGGATCAGTGGATGAAGCTTAGCTGTAATATGTAATTAAAGAGGATTCCTTCGACGGTCAAAAGCTAATAGTATTGCTAGATTATCATCACTTGCCGCCCAATTGGTAACACAGACTGAAGTTGATAGCCGAGAAAGCAACGGGGAGAGTCCAGCTGGCGGACTAAAACAACCCACCTTGCACCCACCACCACAAGTAAAGCCGTCGCAAACCGGAAAACCTTGTTCCTCCATCCACCTAACCATGTCCCTCCATCGCTCCATTTTCCACGATGCAATGTCATTAGCAGCCAATAAGGTCTATCTAATTGTAGACCAGGAACACTATATACAAAATAAGATTCACATTAATAAGTATTTAATTAAGATGTGATACACTAATTTTAAAACATTAATTTAAAGTTAAAGTTAAAATTTTTTGTATATAATATATAAATTTAAGTACTTCTTGATTTAAAAGTATTCTATTTTTAAGAAAGACACTAAACAATTCAGTAGAGATTAGGGGTGCACCAATTAAATTTAATTAAGTCCTCACTTAACTTTTTCCTTTGTATTTTTCTCTCTCTCTCTCTCCAAATTCTCCTTTCTTTAAAGAAAACTATTTCTCTAACATAGTAGTCAATAAAGTACAGAAAGTAAGTTTTTTTTTCTTGTTTCCCATCATATAGAAAATAAGTCGAGATTTGGATTTATAGATACACAAAGAAGTAAAAAAATAGTAATTAATTGTTTTGAAGGACGAAAAAAAAAAAAAGCATAAGAAAAGAAATGTCATAAGTAGACAAAGAAGGCAAAATTGTCACTCAGTTCAAAGATTCCACGAGATTTGCCTGTTTTCCTAGTCTGATGTCAAACCTTACATTAAAAGATTAAATTGAGTTCAGTAAATCTTGATTCTTGATAAATTTTGGCAGATAGAGTTCCAATTATTACTATTATATAAATTAAATGGCGAAATTTTATGGTTTGCAAATGAATTATTGAGTTTATATCAATTTAGTCTATAATTTATTCGTTTCTTCTACTTTTAAGACTCAAAAAATTGTCTCAAATTAGTCATTCCATCTATTAGTAGTTAATTTTGATGATGGAAATTCTATGTAAACAACTAAGAGTGGCACCACATAAGGTTACATGTTTAAAACTTTTTTTTTTTTTTTATGAGACACATGTTTAAAACTTAAGAGAGGATTTATTTAGAAGACACTAAGTAATGTTTTATGGGAAAAGTCTTTTGTATATTGTCCTCTCAAATTTTTTTTTGGAGAACATGTTTAAAAACTCATGTTTTCAAAAATTAATTATTGAATTGAAAATTTTATTTATATAAATCATTTATGTAAATTTTCATATTAATTTAGTAGATCTAATCAATTCATTGATTATATAAAATTTAATATCGTTGAATATATATTGGAAATTAAACAAAGTTTCTTTGATCAAAATGTCATAAATGTTAGATAAATATGAAAAATTGACATGCATAATCTATATATATAGAGAAATTTTAATTTAATAGTTGATTTTTAAAAATATTAATATGAAGGTAGATTTTGAAACAAATCTTCTAAAATGAATTTCAAGAGGATGATCTATATTACACTAACATCATATTTTATTATGTGAGTTTTTAAATGCTTTAAATTATGTTATCATCTACTCATTTAATATTAAACAATTTATGTGAGATTTTGAATATAAATAGTAGAGTGAGATAAGTTAAAAAAATTATTTTTCGTTATATAATCTAAAATTTAAAAAAATATATATATATAATAAATAATAACTATCTCTTTTCAAACTCTTCCTCATTCATTTTAGAATTTAAACTTAAAATTTATGTCATAAAAATTAAAATTCTTATTGGATCGTCCCATGAAGACCTGCATAACTACTTACGTGGAAACTTAGGTGGTGCCATGTAATGATGCAGAAGTTTATGCGGAATTTCATTCCTCTAGTTAATTAATAGACAAAATGACTAGTTCCACGTAGTTATGATTCAATGGTTGCTGTGCAATTGAAAAAACCAAGATATTTAAAATTATTAATAGTAGAACCAAAAGAGAAAAAAAAAACATTTTTTTATTTAAAAATTGTATATTAAATATTATTATTTTTATTTTTATATTAATTATACAATAAAAATAATAATTTTTTATTTTTTTTATCATATTTCACTCTTATACTATGCAATTCAAACTCAAAATCTTTTATTTTCAATTAAAAAAAAAAAAAAGATAACAAGTAAATTAATTAGATAATTAATTATAAAATATTATTGGAGGTTGGTGAAAGTGAGAGTTAAACGGAATCGTAACGACAGCCGTTAGTCAGTTGCCATGTCGTTGACACCCAATAGCATCGCGCGTGCGCCAAACTCCCAAGTTGACGGTTCTGCAACTCCATGGCTATCCTGTCCTCCCCTGCCCTGCCCTCCCACACTTTTTTCTTTTTCTTCTTCATATCATGTCGAAGCACTTTCTACTTTCGTCAATCCGAAGCCAGCGAAAGCTCTAATTTATCATCTCCAATTCAGACATCCCAAATCTCCGGCACTTCGTTAATCCCGAAATCTCCGAATAAAGGTAAGTCGATTTTCTTACATCAATTCAAATCTCAGTTAATTTGTTTCTGTCTGAAGTCTGCGGTAACCAAAAAAAAAATGGTTGTTTTTTTTTTTTTTTTCAATTAATTTTGTTCAGTTGAGGGAAGTTTGATTTGCCCGTTTCCTTAATTTTAATGGGGGAAGAAGCTGATTTCGGATTATTGATGGGTTTTATGGATTCGATTTGATGGGTTTTGATTAATCTTTTTGCAGGGAGATAATCTTAGAGGTGTGGCCGTATGAGTATGAACTGAAGTGGTGGTGCAGAGATGAATGTGAGCCATGCGACGGTTCACCCAGTGGAAGATGTACCGACCACCACCGACGCCGGGAATAACGCTCCGACAGTGAGGATGAAGGATATTCAGGGAATGCCCGGCACTGCTGGGGGGCTTGCTTTGCGCCTCTGTCAGCTTCTTTTTGCGGTCGCCGCACTCTGTGTCATGGCATCCACCAGCGATTTTCCTTCTGTCACAGCCTTTTGGTATTTGTTTTTCCCAGCTTTTTTGTTATTATTATTATATTTTTGCTTTATTTTATTTTAGTTTTGATGAACCAGTGATGGTATGAATTTTGGAAACTCCTGCTTTGCTTTGTGAATGATTTGGGAATTTTTGGATTTTGAGATTGAATTTGAGTTTGAAGCTGAAAAGGTGTGATTGATGCATTACGTACAAGTGTAGATTCATCTGGATATACCTTGATCTAATACTTGGATCATCATTTTGTCACTTCACTTGTTATGTAATGGTGCTCTCCTAAGTCGAAGAATCGAAGATTCTGCTTGTTTTACATTCTTGTATATAAAGAATCCTGAACATGAAGAAGAATGACTAACAATGTGATAGGGATTTCCTTCATTATTGAAGTTCTTGGGAAAATTGTTACTTATCAATTTATCATATGAGAGCCTGCATAGAAGGCCATCTTTGGCTCTCTTGACAATGGCATATTGCAGTTTTCTAGGGTTTTTGTCAGTCATAAACCAGAGCCTAGAAAATTAACTAATTTACTTCTCAATATTCAAGAGGTTCTCCCACCTTTTGAAAACAAGTTCTAGATTGTGAACCAGAATGGTTTGTTCTTTTGTTTCTTATTTGCTTCTTCATATAAATTGCCTGTTGCTAAATTTTTTGTATATGATATCAAAGTGAATCAACTAATTTGTGTTTCTATGTTATTTGTAAGACCACAATTGTTGTTTCATAACATCAGAAGTTCTCCTTTTTGCATGCTCTGTCAGCTACCTTGTTGCTGCCACTGGCTTGCAGAGTATATGGAGTCTTATACTTGCTGTTATTGATCTATACGCTCTTTTGGTGAGACGCTCCTTGCAGAATTTACGAGTTGTCAGTTTCTTTGCTATCGGTGATGGGGTAAGATGATTACATTCTATTAAATATTTATTGGCTGTGTTGAATACCATCCATTACTTAAATTGAAGTTCTGGCATTTTCAAAACACATAAATCTAAACTGACTGCTATATATGGCATATCTTTAGTGTCCTACATGAGGCATCTACTGAATCTTGCAGTCATTACTTCTAACTAGTTGAGATGCATTGATCTGCTTGTTACTGATTGGTATATATATTCTGTTTTAGCAAACCTGTTTTCCTCACAAAGCTTTGTTTGTTTTTTTGGAACTCAACCCAAAGGAAGCTCCAACATGTTAAATATATTTTTCAATCCAAAACCTTGTTATGCATGCTAATCCTGAATCTGCTAGGACACAGACTGAAGTTTACATTCACTTGGAATTGTACCAGAAAGCTTGGGAACTAGTAGGATATCAGTTGAAATTGGCTTTTACACGCTCTTTTCTCTGAAGTACTTCTAGAATATATGCTTTTACATATAAAAAGTGCATTGATCCAGAGGTTCAATTTTATTGGTGGTTATTCATCTTAATGAGATGTTTTTTTTCTCTCCTACAGATCACATCCACGCTGACTTTTGCCGCAGCTTGTGCTTCTGCTGGCATCACAGTCCTTATTGACAACGATCTTGACAGCTGCAAACAGAACCACTGCATGCAGTTTGAAACAGCTACTGCAATGGCCTTCATTAGCTGGTTTACTGCAATGCCATCTTTTCTTCTAAACTTTTGGTCACTGGCATCCCGATGAAGAAAGATCAAACAAGAAAGCCAGAAGTCCCATCTCAGACTGGCACTCGGAAACACTTTCATGTTATTATCCAGAGGAAATTTGGTTTTGATGTATAGTTTATAAAATCAGGTTGCAACATAAAAATTTATGGCGATGAATACCACAAGACTGAATTTGATTGAATCACATTCAATTAAAGTGTGTTAGAATTATCTGCATGTCAATGCCATGTGATGTGAGCTTCTCTTCTCACTGATGTCTCTGGTCCAAGAAACATTCTCCTTCTGTATTCTAATGATTGAACTCTTAATTAACAAGGTGTGAACATAACATCCTTACCCTTTTACATGTCAAAGCTAATGGCCAAAGAATTAGCGTGAATGAGTTTGATTCTAACCTTGTTCTGTTTTTTGTGGGGTTGAAAGAGATAGATATATATTAGCTAATAGAAATAGTCCTGGGAACTGAATTCCCAATTACATCCGCATACACAATGTGATATATATCATGAGGACATTGTTCCAAAACAGTAACAGAAGTAGATAAGGAAGTTCCCATCTTAGCTAAGTGATCAGCTACCATATTGGGTTCGCGATAGATGTGAGCCAACTGGACATCAGAGAGGTGGTGTAGGAGAGCCAGAGCCCTGCAATCATCTACAAGAACAGGCAGTGAATGATACATATTATTACCAGAGGTCAGGAGTAAAGGCCACTTTAGAATCAGTTTCCATAATGAGATTAGTAAAGCCTCTCATGCTCGCAAGATCAAACCCTTCCACAACTCAGCGGCGAGAAGATTCTTACCTTACTAATTACTAGAAATTTAATTTTCGAGAGGTATGAAAAAGTGATTGATTTTAAATTATGTCTTAGTATATAAAATCAAAAAATTGATTTGTAATTTGGATTGCATTGTAAAATATAAACTCTTGGATAGAGAACCTGCCCCTTGACACTCGAATTCCTCTTCCATCCAAGGGTCTTGTTACAAAACAAGATACTCTTATAAAATATAGGCAAAACGAAAAATCAAGAAATCTTAGCATGTCAAGATGTTTT